ACAGCAAAATAAAGGCTAGCTTTTTTTTTTCGATATTACCTACTGTTTTTTTTAATGCTGAAATTCCACACTGTAAATATACGTACTTTCCGTCACGATTTCGTACTGTTGTCCTCGCCCCAGAGCGCAATCACTCTCGGGGACGAGACAACCGACAGTTACATTGGTCACTGTACGATAGGAGCTTATACTGTTCGGACCAGCGTTCCAACATGACTATCCGCACGTTGATCGATTGCACGCAATCCCTCAAGTTTTATTAAACTTTATAATGTTAAGCGGAATGTCAACCTGCGACACCCCGCCCCCTCGATCACGGCCCGACCAGCGGCATCAATGTCCGACAGTTAACGATCTCATCTTGTTACATCACTGATACGCGAACACACGGTCACATCGGCGATAATTCCAGTCTTCTGCTCACAACCCACAACACTGCCATCAAGATGTTGCAGCTATGTTGCTGACACGCACAAATACAGAACAACGTTGAACGCCGGTTGCACTCGGCATCGGAAAACAGAACCTAACTCAGCACGGAAAGCACCCAGGCAGCCGGCAGCAAAACCTGCCTGTCTTGGACGCAGTTCCTGCGGTTTCCATAACGTCGAAAACGTCGGCACAGTTCCGCGTAGTTTCGCTACTGTAGTTCTGTGCCGCGTGAGCTGGCGTGAGTCCCGCAATCCGGAGACGGCCATCACTGATCTCTATTGTAGTAGGCTGGATCGCGGACCGCGGCCTCGGCAGCTGGGGCCGAGTGTCGCCACCGGCGGCCAATTATTGGCACCAGCCAATGCATGGGACTCTATGGGAAGAACGAGAAAAAGTGACGTTTTTCCCTGTTTCTAAGCTGTTGTCGGCACTGAAACTTTTTGGATGCTTCTCGATAAGCCCATTAAATAGCTTGCATACAAACATTAAAACTGACAGTCCTCGCAGTTCTTATAAAAACATATTTTGTGGTCGAGAGTGACTCCGCTGTAGTGCAGCTCAATGAGGTGAGAGTTACCTAGAGTTACTGCGGACTCGGTGGCGGTTTCGTTGAGTTGGATTTAGCAGACGACAAGCTCGAAGGCTTCGCTACGCGGAATTCGCTCTCTCCCGGAAGGCAGCTGTCGAGATGGAACTTCTCTGTTATTCATCGACTTCTGGGCTTCCCTAAGGACGGTCTTATTGACGGCAAGTTCCTTTGTTTACTCCACTACGAGAGCAAGCTTGCCAGCTGTACCGAGTAGGTGCTCCGGTACGTTTGATTTTTTTATTCGGCGACCGGACGTTTAACAATTACCGATTCGATTTCCAAACACACGTCATAAGGATTGCAGCGCACCATAATATACTCGCCTCCGAGCACGGCGTACATGCTTTGATATGCTTAGTTTTGTGCGTTTCTCCCATAGACTTGCGTGTATTGCCTGGTGTCAAACAATGGCCACCGGTGGCGACACCGATGGGCTCCCGATCCGCGATCCAGCCTACTAAAATAGAAATCAGTGACGGCCATCCTACCCAGTGTACGTGGCGCTGCTGGCACAGCTCCGGAACTTCGCTGTTTCTAGCGGCTTCGTTTGCTCGTTTGATAAAATTAGTGATAAAAACGTCAATGCAACCAAAATGTTATGCACGTTTAGACTAGAAGACGGAATTACAGGCAAGCTTCGCTGTCGCTGAAGCTCAATCAACTCAACAGCTATTTATTAAACAACGTGCGCGACCTGCTCGAAAAACGAGACCGAAAAAAGATGAGTCGGGAGGGCGAAAGCTTTTTCCCATCTGCCTGGAGAAGGAGAAAAACGTTTCGTCCCTCCTCTTTTCTGGTGTCCGCTTGGGGGCGCGTCAGTAGGAACGAGGAAGACGCGCCGTTGCTACTTTATTCCTCAATGTTTTCTTAGGGTGTACGCCATTCTCAATATTGCGACGTACCGCGGGCTAGATGGCGCAATGGCGGCTCGCGACGGACCAATGTTGGGACGGGCGTTGTCCACTACTTCGGAACGGTCGTTCCTGGTACCAGCCAATCGATATTTAAGAGGGTGGCATATAAGTGCGAAATAATCGCACGACAAACGGTGCGCGCAACTTCGTTGTCGTCTTCTGCGTGACACGCCTGAGAAGCAGAGGAAAAAAAATAACACGCGGTCGGGTGTAGCCACGTGACTTCCGGCAGCTCTCTCCTCCTCCACATTACTTCATTCCCCTCTGTACACGTCGCCGACATCTAAATGTACCAGCTTGAGTTTCATAATTATGCTTGAACCTGAAGAAACAAAAGACAGGCGAAGACAAACGTTCAAACGTCGCGGCCATGAGCTTCAGTGCTCATGTTTCGGTTTCTAGCAGTTAAGTTTCTTTGACTTTATTAAACAAATATACGCGACAAAGTAGCCAAATGTCGATTAAGATCTTCGGACACCTTAAAAAATCGTCTGGCAAAAATAAAAAGAAATGTTTCGGGTCAGTGTCGTTTTAATATTATTGTATTATACGACTGAGCGGCGTGAGCATCTCACGCTGCCTGTTCGCGGGTCGGTTTCACACGCTGTACGGCTGCTTGCAGATGAGTGTTTGCAGCAGTGGAACCAAAGAACTGACTTTACTTCGTAGCCCGGTGTTGCTTGACAACAGCTAACCCATTGGCCACCTGCTGAAGAACAGCTGGTCCCATCTTCATTATAGGTTTTAGTGGAGTACGCGGTTTTGCCCCTCTAAAGCGATTCCTGTCATTTATTTTGGCTAAATGTTTGACTTGCGTTGCTCTTTAACTGATATCCGACTACTATATTTCCGGGGAGATGATGAAGTGCTGTTGATAACCCAGTACTAGTGAAGTTTCGGGCGGGCCGTACAATGTAGATCTTGAGCTCTAGCTGAGGGACTGAACAATCTCATAAATACGAATTCATAACTTTATGAAAGCCTTGTTGATGACAATCTCAAAAGATACGAATCGTCGAAGATATGTTTATTATTTTGGGCATGTTGCATCAAACTGGGTGGGCTAAGGACCGCGAAGATAAATGATGTCCTGACTGATATGCTGAGCTGGTTCGGAGCGCACCGAATGAATTGAGTGAAAACGGCAAGGCCATGCATTTATGATGTATTGTCGTGTGCAGCTTTGAGAGTTTTGGGTAGGATGGCTTCTGGGCGACTTATCAATCATCATTAAAGAACGATCTTCGAGCTTGTCGCAAACATGTATTCTACTCTTGCTTTGTCTCCGTGGAACATCCGGCATTTTCAAACCGATGCGTTTGCGAATATGTTTTAATATTTTCATTTAGACTTCTTGTGAAACAGAGCACATGAGCGACTAAACCAAACTTTAGAGATACAAAAAAAAAAAAGGAAGAACACGTTGGCATAAACGGTACGCTGCAGCGCCTAAGTATCTCTGAGCACAAAACTCCACAAATTTTTCATGAAACCCATCGTCTTCGCATGCATTTTGGAGCGATCGTTAGAAATAATAGTGATATAGAGAGTGGTAAAACATATAAAATAGCGCAACAGAAACAAGGACAAGAAGTAAACAGGACAGGCGCTAAAATATAGTTTAGTAAGGCACGTTGTTGGGCTAGTTGGTTCATCTTAGTAAAACATATAAAATAGCGCAACAGAAACAAGGACAAGAATTAGCGCCTGTCCTGTTTACTTCTTGTCCTTGTTTCTGTTGCGCTATTTTATATGTTTTACTAAGATGAACCAACTAGCCCAACAACGTGCCTTACTAAAATATAGAGAGTGCTTTTCTTGAAAGCTGATCGAACCGACATTTATTGGGAATATGGAATTCTATTTCGGTGTGGAGAACGCGCTTTTTGAATTAATTGAACACAATGTTTGTTCGGCGCCTGGTGCAGACTAGAGCTTAAAAAGCAATAGAAGTTCAGACAGAAGAAAAAAATACTGGAAAACAAACAAGACAAAATATAGATTTTTTATTTTTTACTCAAGGCCCATGGAAGACTGCTGAGTCGAATCCAGAGCTTATTTTGAGACGGCAACTTACCTCAGTTCAAATGGAGACTGAGACTTTCTAATGTTAATAAAAAGGAGAGCGAAGGACGGAAAGATTGGGGTTTGACATCTTGTTGTTTTGAACTCGACGTATGGAAGTGAAAACTAATGGATCCCAAGATCACGGGTATACTGCTTCTGTTGGATTCCGTAAGCGCTATCAAGTTAGATGGTGACTTGTGGTTAAATATAGGAAGCATTCACTGCACTGCATGGTGGCCACAGTTATGTGCTAGGTGGTCATGGGCGTGCTGACAACCAGAGTTTGCCAAATCAGCAGAAAGTGCAAAGTATAGGTTCTCCCTTTAGTTGTGTTATTTTTATAGATGTGACCAAAAAGGTTGCAACTTTTTATTTTCATAAATTACCGTGCGTAGGCTGCACCGCCAAGCATTCAAGATACCGATAATTGTTGCTTCTTTCACCACTTCCATTCATGAGAACGTCAAAGAGGTATCGTGCTGCAAGACCCACCTGGTCTCAGTGGACGCTTTTCTGTCACATACATTGCATGATCATTGGTGTACGACACCGTCTGAACTTTTCACCGATCGGAAGAATCAAATGAGGCCCCCAAAGAGCGATATTTTGAATGCATACACACTCGCGAATTTCACTTGAGTCTCAGTCATACCGCTGTTATATGACACGAAAGATACGGTGACCGATTCAATTCTAATAACAGAACTATCTGCGGACAAACCGAAAGCATTCTGTAAACATGTTTGCTTCATTCATGAGTGTACTGCGAACAAGCACGCAGACAGTTTCTGAATGGCCGATGTGACAGGACCGCCATACAAGGAAGAAGCACGTCTCGGACAGTGTCACCAGACATACATACGTTTTTAAGATTTATTAGCAGTGTGTCCTCGACTTTAGAGTGTTCCTTTGATTTGCATTTAAAATATTTTCCCCTACTTCTTCCGCAGACTCCGAAACCGATCCCAATGGAAAGACCCAGGAGGAGGGCCCTTGAGAATCATCGGAGGAGCCGGCCCCAGTAACCCGAGATTCGGGGCAAGGATCACGATGGACGAGAGTGTCTTCGACACATCAACTGCCTCCCGCCAGAACGGCGACGTCAACTACGACACCGGTCACCATCCGAACGGCAGCGGCCTGACCAACGCATCCTGCGTGAACGACCTCTGCGTCTCCGAGGCAGAGTATCTGGACCTCCTGGAAGAGTACATCTTCCCCTCGTCATACGAGTGGGGGCTCATCGGTCTGCACATTGCGGTTTTCGTGGTGGGCCTCGTGGGCAACACCCTGGTGTGCGTGGCCGTCTACCGTAACCAGGCGATGCGGACCGTCACCAACTACTTCATCGTGAACCTTGCCGTCGCCGACTTCCTTGTCATTCTGGTCTGTCTACCGCCGACCGTGCTCTGGGACGTGACTGAGACGTGGTTCTTCGGCGCTGCGCTCTGCAAGGTCGTGCTTTATCTACAGGTGAGTCGAACCTCTTGAGAAAAATCAGCTCCTTCCATTTTGTTTTTAGTTGTCAATACTACCGAAGCAGAATGAACCTTTTTCGAGTGTCGAATGCCGTCTCGTAGGTTCTATGCGAGATACGAAAAAAGGGTAGCGAATCCGTTGTATCGGTTGTCATCGCTTTTTATGCACCATACATGCGATACTAAAAAAAAAAAAAAAAAAAAAAGGAGCCGTTAAACAAGTTAAAATACGCGCAAAGATGGGGGCTGGCAATGTCGGTCGTGTTCTCCATAAATTAACACCACGGGAAGCGGGGACAGGGTAAAGGCTGTACGCATGTGAAGAAGCCTATAGACAAAAGGTTCATCAGAGTTTGCGTTATACTCTTGAAAAGCATGTACACAATGCGTAAAATGGATAGCACAAACACCACATTCGCATTTCGTTCTGTTTTCGGTTCCACATTGATGAAACATAGCAGTGATGAGCATCGATCTTTGCTCGCTTAAGGTGATGCAGAGCCCTACCTATTTTCGCTATATCAGTAAATAGAATGAGACAACTGAAGTAGTAGGGGAACGCACGGGAAAGCAGATCAAAGGACGCCCAAAAGTTGGTTAGCAATGGTCATAAACTGAGCCCCGAGAAAGGAAAAATATGATAACGGACAACGCAACTGATAATGTGTTGTGCGTTGCTTAATTTTCCTTGTCTCATGCTTTTGTTCGCATTCAAACCGGAAATTTGGGATGTTGCTGATTTATGCTCACTGTGTCGCATTTTACATTTCATAATAAAGAAAGAACCTGATTAAGCAAGTGAGTTAATAAGGAGCAAACATAGTGAGGACTTCGTCTCCGTGATTGCCGGAGCGCAAAGCCTTAAGGAAAAGCAAATCCCGGGAACAACACGCTAGAAGCAAAATGAAAAAACAAAAAACAAAAAAAGGAAAGAACTTTTTTTATATTTTTTTTTCGTGGTTTTGCGGAGTGACAGCCGCGGTCCCCTGATGAGCGAGCGTTGAACCGGAGGGCGTTTGTGCAATAACTACCGCGGAACGTGCGCATTCGACACCGCAGGGTGGCCGGTCAGACTAGACTAATGAACCTTTACCGGGAAAATTTATGCGCATGCGCGAGCAGCCGCTTTAATCAGCCTGTCGTAGGCTTGTAGAATACAATTTGCCTCACAATCGGCTATAAATGTCCGGTAGGTGATGAGCGAGGAAAGTGAACGGGTTTGATTTGCCTCACTTCCATCAGACTGCCACAAGTGCGTTTCTATGAGTCGCATTCATTGGCGGGCATACTATATCAGTGTGCTCCGTAGCGAAGGGCATGCTGACGGCAAGCGTTTTCCGATTCTTTTCGCAAAGTCAATAATCTTGTTCACGCAGGCGATAAGTTGCTTGAATCAGATCACGTACTCCTAACGAAATGTGAATACCTCCTGTTGACGATTTGCGCGACCAAAACCGTCGCTGAGTTCGTCCTTCTTTGACTGACCAAGCTCTTGCTATAACATCTTTAAAGGGAAGGTGAAGCGGTTTAGTATTTGAGTAAAGACACTTAAATCATATTCATTTGTCCTCCTGGACCAGGAATATTGAGATTAGTTTTCAATTTGGTGCACAGAGGCTGCAGGAAATCATTTTCAAAGTACAGCTGAAGCCGCTCGCTCCCGAAGCGTTACGTCATAAAAGGAGTTTTCCACGTGCACTCTTGATATTTTCAAGCACTTAAGAAACAGACGTCCCGACTGGCGTCAGTGCGGCGGTATATACTTGACATGCTTGAAATTGCACGGGCTGCCCACAAGAGCGACACGTGCTTGGCGACCGAAAGATTATTTTATGACGTACCGAATGGCTGGGTTTTTTTCGAATTTTCTCGCGCTTAGATACATCTTCGGGTAGAAAGAACTTGACATTCAGATTCACGGGGTAAAAATACTCTAGAATTCACCTATTAGAGGCGAGATGTTTCGGTGGCGCCCTCGTTCGCTTTCCTTTCGTGACGCCATTACCTTGTGAGCAACAAGTTCGATGGTGTTGTAATGGGCATGGTGGAAGGTCGAAATCATTGCGCTTTTAAAGCAACACTGCCAACACCGTCAAAATTGAAGTTCTTACTCTCGTCTTATTTCCGTCGATGAAACAACCTTTGCTGACGTCATAGTCAGCATTCGGTCAATTATGATGGGCCGACCACAGCAACACTTTCGATCGCTCACGCCGCCAATAACTCGTTCTTTTCTTTTTTTAAGAAGCTTTTCAGCATATTTCCGAAGGGGCGATGCAACAATATTTTGACTTTCAATAAAGACAGCTTCGAATTATTCCTTTACATTTACGACCTGTGAAACACACGTTTTGTTTTTCTCTACTCAAAAATAGTCGCAGGAAAAATCCGAAAAAAATGAACACCGTTTACTCCTTGAACTCGCAGCCAGAAAAAGCGGCCACATGATCTGGAGCCGGTTATTTGCCGCCAATGTTTTTAACATAGCCACGCGCTGGGGTTGACAGAGCAGAGGACGTGCTCCAAGTTCCACGCATTGTTTAAGGGGTACTCCGCCGATTTCTTCATGGTCCCCGATTGGCCTGAAATTTTGCTAAACTCGCCAAACAACATCGCCAAAATAGTATCCCAAATATTAGGTCAAAATAATTTTTTTCCACGAAGTTATTGAATTTACAATTTTGGTCCTCACCGTGTTTTTCAAACTGAAAGTCTCTACTGGCAACAACGAAAAAGTGACGTCATTGGAAGTGCAGGGGTTCACTGTTTGGACTGTAGAATTTGTTCCCAACTGATTGGAAGCCGTCTCATGGTGTCAAATGAATGCTTTGGAGGCTCGCTCCAGTCCCCGCGCTCCAGCACGGAACAAGTGATTGACATATTTTATTTTTTAGACTGCTCGCCCCACTGGCAAGCTTGCCTTCCGCTGACGTCACGGCACTGAAAAGGGCGGGTATATTTGAATGTTGGTTTTTGCATCATTTTCATTTGCCGATTTCGCAATAACTATTATGAATTTTAGGATACTAAATAGCATACCAGAAAGGGTAAAGGCCGGGGAGTCAGAAAATATAGTTAGTTGAGGTAGCTCAAAAATCGCCGGAGTACCCCTTTAAGGCTCGGCTATTCCCGTCATCCGAGCTCATAGCCACGAGCAACTACAAGAACGTATGTCGAGGCATCGATTGTCACGAGCCAAAATCAAATGACTACGAAGACTTCGTGTTCATTCTATGAGCAACACTTAAATATCGTCACAAGGGGGATCGCAAAGCTTCATGACGCACACCAGGGGATCGCATTTTTGGCACCTCAAAATTGTGCGAAGGGGTGGCTGAAAAAAACAAGCCCGCTTCTATCCTTGTAATCACCACGACGAAGACGCTTCTTGGTCAGTGGCGTTGCGTTCGAGTATTCTTGGGTTCCACTAGTGCCACAAAGCTGGTGTAAAGTGGGAAGCGCTCCTGCCCAATATCGTTGCACAGCATCTTTAATATGACACACGATCGACGAATCAGTTTGCCATTCCGCGGCTACGAGCATAGCGTCTGCACCGCTCTGTCCCAGTAACGTTCGCGCGCTGATTCGCCGACCAGATAATAGGAAGTTTTAGCAGACCATGTTCCCTCCCCCCCCCCCCCCCCCCCCCCACCGCTAAGCCCTTCCGCTACCCGGAACTCTATACAGTTAAGGCTATCGACACGCAGGCGCAGTGGCGGTTTCTTCGTTGCGGAGGGTTAGCCAAGGGGAAAATATGATTTACTAAAATTCTCTAATAGAGACCTTTCGCAAACCGTTGCCGTGCTCCTCGTACCGCACTATACCGGAGCCCTCGAAGCATGCTTTTAAGCGCGCGCCCACGTGGTACCTTGACCTCGGGGAGTGCGTTAAAAGCAGGCTTCAGAGGCTCCGGTAGTGCGGTACGCGGAGCACGGCAACGGTTTGCTAAAGCCTAAAGGTCCCTATTGCCGGTCAGTGTAACTGACACTTGATTTTTCCGCGTGGAATGGGTGTAATTTCGCATTTATTGGAGAGATAAAAGTAATGTCAGACGAACATCTCTGACGACGTTGGTTTACAAACGCGGTGTCCTTAAGCGTCCGCCATACCTTTACATGCAACAGCGAACTTCTCGCTTGACACTGGTAACCCCCGTCGTGACGTCACGAGCAGGAGAGGGTGCCACCAAAAATATCTGGTCGCCAATGGATGTCCACGTCTTCTTTGTGTGTTCGTCCACTATTTCTCAGCGACTTGAGCGGTGCGGCACATCGCCTTGATCGACTGTGCCATCGTTTAAAGTGGAACCCATTGTGAAACTTCGACAGCTCTAGTAGCCGGCACAAAGCATTCACCGGGTTCGGCGGCAGTTGATGCACCACTAGGGCGCCAGACTGGTTGGGGCCCCTATGGGCCGAGACAGTGAGGGAGACGAGGAGACGAGAACGAGCGGGGGGCGTCACAAGGCCGAGCTCTGGTTGGAACGAATAGTGGGTAGACCTAAAGCTATGTGGAGCGCAAGCTCGTCTGCTTCTCGCACAAGAGTTGTGGTGACGTCAGGACGACGCCGAGCTCTTATTGGCTGATTGAAAGGTAAAATAGTGTGTAGACCTGAAAGCGTCTAGCGTTGAGGTCTACTCACTATTCTTTCAATCAAAGCCAACCAGAGCCCGGCGTTATTCTGACGTCACCACAACTCCTGCTCAAAAAACAGACAACTTGGTCTGCACTCGCCGAACGCGTTACAACGCGGAACGCCGGCGTTTGTTCGTTTGGCTCTCGTTTTATAATGCGTTCGGCGGGTGCGATGAAGACAAAGGCAGCTATAGCTTTAGGTCTACCCACTAATAATTCGAATCGAATCCCTCATTTTATCGGCACATAGACTTTCGATTGTGTATTTTTATTTGGTCTTCTCCAACGCTCCGTGGTCGGGTAAACAGATTTCATTTCGGAGCAGTACTTGCAATACGTTTGCGAGAATCTGCACCCATT